TAATTCAAACTAGAATACCATTTAGGTATTGGATCATAACTGGAGCTGTAAAATATGAATTTAGATTTGGTTTATATGGATGGAAAGCTAATACATAGGCCTAAAACTTTCATGGAGTTCATGATTCAAAACGGTCGTTTTCACGTTCAAATTATAGCAACAAAAGAGAAGTCAAAATCTGTCCTGCAATCTAAATATTGTTTAATGTTCAACCCATATCTTGAGTTCTAAAAGTTCAAATGAGCTTATTCATATTTTATTGGAAAGTTGAGACAAATATCTAAAACTTTCATAAAGACTATCTGTTCAAATTATGATGTTAGCAATGATGTTTTGTTTAGACAATAAGATAATGGTTGTCACCAAGTCAAGAGGTGGTCACCTACTCAATAATTAGAATAAAAGAGTTCAAGTATGCATTTAATTAAATAAACTGATAACTATTTATACAATCGAAAAAAATTATGAAACTCAATTCCTAATCATTCGAAGTTAAACAAGTTCAAACTAATGATTTCAATCGTAGACTTAATTAGGCTAAATAATTTTTTTTTTGTCTAAAACACAAACTAATAAAATTGAGAACCGACCAAATAATAAGGCAACCAAATAAAAATATCATATCAAAACAAATTACATTGCTCAATTAAAAATCAACAAATTATTAAATGATAAATTTAAAAAAAAAAGCAAGAAAAAAACATCCAATTGTGATGGGTAAGATTTAAGAATAAAAAAAAAAGAATGAAAAAGGCCTACACTATTAGGCCTGAAATAACCCACGCGCCTGAGCCTTTTTTTTAAAGGATGAACAGTATGTTGTTCGTCCCTTAAATTTGTAAAAACAAATAGTAGGTGATGTGTTGCCTGCCTTATCTAAATTCCAGCAATCTCTAACTACTATAAAATCGAGTTGTGATGTTTTAGATAAGAAAAATCATTTTCATCCATATTTCAACCCATAAAAAGATCTTAAATACCTTGTAAAACATATCGATGATTGCAAACAATCCAAAAAAGTACCCAAAAGCCCATAATAAGTCTAAAACTAAAATAGTCTCGGAGCTCAAATCTACCATATAAGACAAGTTTAAGGGAAAAAAGCATCTAGGATTAGGGGTGATCATTTTCAGTTCGGTTTGGTTTTTATAAAAAAAAAATAACCAAACTGAATTTAAAAAAAACTGAAACCGGTTCAAACTAAGTGGTTTCGGTTTGGTTTTTTTTGTTAGGACAAAAAACCGTTTCAAACCAGTTTTGCTCGGTTTTTTCTGGTTTGAGTTCGGTTTTTCAGTTTTAAGCTTATAAAACCAAAACCGAACTGAACCGGTTAGTTTTTTAAATTTTAGGTTTATAAAACCAAAACCGAACCTAAATGATTGGTTTTTAAAATTTTAATTGGTTTAATCGATTTTTTTCATAATTTTATTTTTTTATTTTTCTCAGTTTAATCAGTTTTTTAATTTTTTTGGCTAACCCCTACCTAGAATAGGATAAACTCTCATTATCGAAAAAAATCTATTAACACCAAAATAATCCTTTTTTGGTCTTAATTAATGTAAATAATACTTTTTCTACTATCAAAATCTAGCCACTTTCCTTCTTTTTTCTCAAACTAGAAAAAAAATAAAAAATTCGCAATGGAAATCCAAAATAAATTATGAAAGAGATTACAGTGGATGGGTGAACAATAATCCCCCACTCTGCCTTCTAGTTTACTGTGTAATAAAGAGGTATAGATCATCCAATTGTTCCAATTGAAAGAACTATAAGGTTCAACTAATCAAAAGCCTGTGGCATTGTGCGTGTTCGTGGTTATTCAATTTATTTTATAAAGTATAAAAAATTGATAAATAATCCATTTAGTGGGAAAAATAAATATATCATAAATACATAGTTCTTAATGAAACTCTATTGCCTCATCATAATTCTTGGAAATGGTACATTAAATATAAACGTATATAAAAAAATGTTTTATTGATACGATGGTAATATGAATTTGTGATAGATCTACGAAATCCTATATATGAATTATACACAAATGAATAAAAAATTACTTTGATATTTATGATGCAAATATATCATTAAAATAGAGAAATAAAAAAAATTAATTTTCATTGTGTTTACGTATGAGCATATCAAATCTTAATTTATTTAGGAACTAAATTATAAACTTATATGTACAGCTATTTATCTAAATTAATTTGTTTTATATTTATTAAATCCAACTAAAAATTCCTACTGTTATTTATTAATTGAAACAAATTTATAAATATTTTTTCATCATTAAAAATACAAAAACAACAAAAATATAAAAAAACAAAAAAAACCCATAATATGCATATATATATATATGTAATCTAATTTAAATTTTCAATGCATGTTTAATTTAAATGCTTGATTGCTCTCGTATTTTAAGAGAAATACTACAAATTATATAACATATAATTTAATAACTTTATTAAGAAATGACCTCCTTGAAAAATAATAAGGACAATTTTATTTTCTTATATCAAAAATAAATAAAAATATTCAATATAAATCTCAAATTAAAACTACTAATACGAGTTTTTGACTGGTTTAGATAAAAATGAATAAGTTACGAAGAAGCCGAGATGGATTATAAGTCGGTCTAACGGTGCCAAACCAAGACGTGGTCCAGCAATCTGTTGAGAAAAGGACGCAAGCATCCTCCGAATATAGCACTGGTTGGTGCGTGTTCCGAATGTTGTCCACCGGAAAAATTTATTCTGGTTTTAATGTTAAAGATATTCTCCGATCTTTTTTTTTTTTTGCTAATTATATTAACGTTTTTCTTAATAAAATCGTAATGGGATCATCCCTACTTAAATTGTTGCATTTATTTTCAATCAAAATTTAAGTAGATTTTTTCTGTTTAAAAATATTTTTTAATATATTTTTAAATAAAAATACTTTAAAAAACAATTATTACCATACTTCTAAATATTTTAATGTTTTGATTATAATTTGCTGTTGGAATAATAATTATTTTTTAAAGTTTTTTTATTTTAAAATGTATTGAGGTAATATTTTTTGTTTTTTAAAATTTATTTTTGATATTAGTATATTAAAATGATTTTAAAATATCAAAAAATAATTTAAAAGAAAGAAAAAATTAATTTTTTTATATTTTTTAAATATTTTAAAAGAACACGAAAACATATTATCTAAGCACCAACGCTTATATCTGTTGATGTAACGGTTATGATTATTTGCGATTTCTTCATTTACACTTGCAAGGAGGATTCATATCCTAAGGTATTAAAAGTCAAATGCCAAGGTCGAATGAAAAATCACAAGTCGTGACAGCAACAGGCCGGGTCGCTTTACAATGAACAATCAGTGCAGTGTTTGATAACGTGGTGTGGAAGTGGTTTTTAAAAAATTATTTTTTAATTTTAAATTAATATATTTATAATATTTTTAAATTATTTTAATATTACCAAAAATAATTTTTTAAAAATAAAAATTATTATTTTAATATATTTTAAAATAAAAAACATCTTAAAATATAATCACCATCCACACTCAAACAGTCTTAAAACCAAGTTTGGTATCCAGTTGTTAATTATATTTTGGGTGGCAATGAATAAACTATTGTAAATTCTATATTTTGAAGAATTTAGTTGACACTGTTTCTCAAAAAGAAAATATTATTTTTTTTTTCTCCTTAGTTAAAATATGACACTTCACTCAAAAAAGAAAAAAGAATTTAAAAAAAAAATCAAAAAGTAATTTTTGTTGTATTTTTTTTATTTTTTTCTTGTATTAAAATGCTTACCTTCATTTTAAATTCTAAGGTAAATAGATTAAGATACAAAGTAAATTGATGATGAAGGCAGTGTCTGTTTTTAAAGTACAATTTTGAAATTTTTATTTTTTTATTTTTCAAAGACATAAATTCTAAAAATAAAAAATTATTATTTTAATATATTTTTAAAAGAAGAAAGATGGAAAATAAAAAATTATTATTTTAATATATTTTTGAAAGAAAAGGATGGAGTACATTCGAGAGTACAGGATCAGGCTGTTCCTCCTGTAAAGAGTAAACGTCAACTCCAACTGATCATAAAAAGGGTAAAGGGATCCTCAAAAATTTCAAACCTTGCGTGCGCGTACAGTCGTTGGTCCACCACCACTGACTTTCACCATAGGATTAATAATTATGAAAAAATTGACTCCAAATCAGTCCCCAAACTTTTAGTTTCCAGCAAATCAGTCCCTACCCTTACTTTTAGTCACATTTATTATCATATCAGTAGTCCATGATGTCGTCGTCGTCGTCGTCTGTTGGCTTCAAGTTGGGCGGCAGCTTCGAGCTGGGGTAGTTACAAGTCCATAGCTATTAAGAGATAGACTAGGCTCATGTCCAAGTTTATATAAAGGTATTGAAGGTCAATTAAATTACAAAATGTGTGAGATTGTTTGAAAATATTTAAAAATCAAGTAAAGTTTGAGAAGCTTAAGAATTAATTTGATATATAAGTGAATTTATTATAAATGAAAATAATTTAATGATGCTATTATATTATTCAAACAAATTTAGAGCACAATGGTTAATTGAATAAATTTAAAGAACATAAGGACTAATTGATAAAATAAAAAACGTAAGGATAGATTTAGGGTTTCTCCTTGAAAATATAATACTTTCCAAAGAGAACTTGAAATATAATATGTAACTGTATTATTACAAATGTGAATAAATAGATTATATTGTATTAATTTTTATTATTTTATAGAAACAAATTGACGGGGAATTCAAACATGTTAAAGCGAGCAAAGGTTCCAGTGTTCGCAAGATTTTGAATATTAGTGTCTGATCTGTTAGTAGCTATATAATTTGGGGACTGATCTATAGTTACCCTAAAAACAAAACCAATATATATATATATATATAGAGAGAGAGAGAGAGACAGAGACTTGAATAATTATTATTTCTTAACTAGATCAATTTTATTTTTTTTTAAATTTTTATCTAGAGAAAGAACAACAGCTCAATTATTTTCAAAACTCACTAAAAACAAGAAAATATTGTGAACTCACGAATATAAATAGAGAAAACCGAGACCATTTATGCTTTACACCGATGCGAACAAGGCTCCTCCTTTTCTCCTCGTTTTCCAAATCCGGGTAATCCGGAGTCCTCGTGTGTCAATTTTTTTTGTTTAAATTGATTTACTTTTTTGCTTTCTGTCTCCAATTCATGGTCTCAATGTTTTGTCTGAATTTGATTACATATGTAAAGACACAACAAAAAGCTTACAAATTCTCAACTGGGTGTCTCTTGATATTTTGATGTGTTTTTACTTTTGCGATTTGTCTTTGGGTTATTTGTTGGAAACCTGAAATGGGGTTGGCTTGTTTGTTTTCATTGTTGCTTGTGTTTGATTGGGTTGCTTTGATGGTTATTAAGCCAAATGGGAATATTAGATTTTTTTGGGTTGATATTTGGATTGAATATCTATGTTTAATATGGAAAGCGGTTTTCTTTCCTTTTCATATTTTTATTTCGTCTCATGGTTCCTTTGAGGATAATAATATTAAAGTTAATTCCTGGCAGAACCTGATTTGAGTTTTGTTAAAAGGGATTGATTAATTTTGAATTGGGTTTTATTTTTATTTGCTATTTCCGTCTCTTGTTGCGATTCCTTGCTCGCTGGTGTGGATAAAATGGGCACTTTTAGGCAGAATTCAGGTTTATACTTGATTGAGAATTAGAAATGAGGCTGATTTCTCACGCCCTTTTCTCTGGTCAATTTATAATTGCTTTGATGGATACAAGTGTGGGTGGGTGGGTGTTGGGTGTGTGGGTTTTCTTCTTTTTTTTTTGGGGGGGGGGGGGGGTTT